ACCACATAGAATCGTTTTATTTGCATGAAAAGCATCCCAAGTACGACCCATCATCTCACGGCATTGTTGGCTCACCCCCGCGTCAAAGTCGAAGTCAACCCCCAGCACCCGGACGGAAGAACCAAGGGGCCGGAACTGCACTATTTCACCATCAGCCAGAAGTGTTCTCCTCCCCTTGTAGTGCGCGTTGGTGACGATGCATGTCTTGTCAGACGAGAGGGACAACCCGAGGTTGGCGAGCATGATCGCGATGAGCTGGATATTCTTCTCGATTTTATCAGCGTTGTCCCCCCACAGGAAGATATCGTCCTGAAAACACCCCACGTCGACGGGCATGTCCTTGAGGCCTGCCTTGCTGCACTTCCATCGTCTGCCAAGGCGCAGAGATTGCAATTCATGGGCGACGATCATCCCAAAGAGCTCTGCAGACTCAGGGCTGCCTTGGCGGATGCCCCGGTTGGCATTGACCGCAACTTCTTTCCCGCCTGGAGCCACCCCACTCATAGTGTTCTCCGCAAGGAGGAGCAGTAGAAACCGAAGTTCATGTGCCATCCCAGGGTGGTCAAGTCGTGTCTGTAGAAAGTCCGCTACGCAGCCACGATCAATGAAGTCGAAAGCACCTCGAACGTCCAACTTGACGGCAATCACCCCTTGTCTCCATTCGCGACAGACATCACGTAGACGAGTGAACACCCCAATAAGGTCAGCGGCCTGTCGTCCGCGTCCGGAGGCAGCACAGCAGGAGGGTGCCCTCAGTTCTCCGAAGGTGCGTCCCATGACCAGGCGGGACATCATTTTCATGGCGGCACTACCCATAGCAATGGGGCGAAGGTCCTTCGGATGTGAAGGGGTTTGACATTTTGGGAGAAGAGCAAGGAGCGAAACACCCCAATCATCCGGATGAGTCTCCCCAGCGAGGATCTCGGTACACATATCGCACATGGCCACGGGCTGCTCCACAGCAAGGCGACGAAGAAGATCAACACAGACTCGATCCGCCCCCACAGCGGAGCGGTTTTTCATCCCATGCAGAGCGGTGTTGATCTCCTCGATGTTGACCGGGACCAGGTCGGCGGGTTGACAGGCGACTTGAGCAAGGCGATGACGAAGTTCCACGTCCCAATTACGAGCTACGTCCCAAAGCTTGTTGCCCAAGAAGTCTTGTACTTCAGCAGCCACATCCGTGCTGGTTTTCGACGAGAGGAGACCACCCCACCAACTGGCTTTTCTGAGGCCATGTTTGTAGTCACGATATTCACCCCAATTGCCGTAGAGGATGTTCGTGATTTGCTTCTGTTGCCACACCCTTTTTCGATGACGGCGGGCATGATGAACGCGTTTCCACAGCTCCTTCTTTTCATCCCTTGGGGCGCGTTTAGCGGTGGAGATCATGTCTTTTAGCTCAGCATCCTCACAGTAACGTCGACGTTGAAGAGGGGCAGTGAACGTCCCAACGATGTTCTTGATGTCCTCAAAGTTGCGGACGGGAGGAAGAGCATCACAGTCGCGCACAACCCAGCGAGGCCGTGTGTCGACCCAGGTGCTAGGTTTGGTCTTAGCCACTTCGATTAGAAGCTCCATCATCGCGTGGTCAGTGTTGATCTCAAGGCGCATGTCAGCACGTACCCGAACCGATCCACACCCCACCAGGCGGACAAAGACGGCGTCGATGTGCCTCCCTTCGCGACATTCATCCCGGGAATATTGTGTTGGTAGGTGTCGCTCATCCGCCTGGGAAAGTACGGCGCGAAGACGAAGAGACGACGTGACTTCCAGCAGGCGGTCAGTTTTCGCCCCTGAGCTAATAAAGGCATCCTCCGTGCTTTCACTGTTCCACCCCAGAGGTTCATTCACATCCACACCAGCAACGATGGGGAGGTCAGGATGCCACTTGCGAAGCATCTGCTTGAAGTCCTGAACGTCCTTGTGGTACTTCGCGACGGTCACCCCGGTAGGGCAATGTAGCGAACACAGTATCAAACGTTTGTGATTCTTCAGTCGAACAACCCATGCAGCTCCCCGTCCACAGGCAACCTTATCAGTCACTGCATCGAAGAGGTCCTTTGCCACCCCAATCCCAACGCCACGCCATTGTTGAGCATCCCTGTGAGTGAACCACGCAAAGCAATCGGTTTGGTTTTCATCCCATCCACAAACACCGCGCTGTACTTCCTGGAGACAAAGTAAATCAAAGGAGCCAGCCACAACATCGATCTTCGACATAGGCTGGCCAGCAACATTCCACGACCCAAACTTGCGCATGACATGTTTTGAACAGCCCACATGTTTGGCCACAGTAGCACCCCGAGGAGGGTTAGCACTTGGTGCACCCCCAAAGTCGAGGCTGTCGGTGAGACGTTCTCCAGGTCACAGTTCCCGTTCAAATGCGGCCGAGGCCACATCATATGCCACCCCAGTCGCTCTTGAGATCGCGGCGAGGTCCAGCCAGCCAGAGCCAATGACTTTGACGTCTTCACCCCGTGGTTGGCGATGTGCACTTGAGCCCAGCTTCCACTCGCCAACCCAAACAGTGCCCGACCCCCAGTCAATCTCGTACGACCCATCGGTGCAAGCGAGCATGTTGTGGGCTTCAGAGTTAGCCCTTGCATCCCCAACCATTGACAGGCAAACACGTCGTATCATAGAAGCATGGGCGCTCCTTTTCCTTGCCTCCCTCGTCTTGGTGAAGCTGCACCAGAGGTTCTTTGTCACCCCCAGGTTCGTCGTCGAAGGGAGGCTGACGGGTGAGCTTCGAGCTGCTTGTATGACACCCCACATGC